GCTCTGCCGCGCAATTTAATGTTAAACCCCGCGCCTGGAGGGCTTAGAGCTGCTCATGCCTATCTGGGCACTACTGCTGCAGCCTCCTGCACTGCACCGTGTTGCTGCATCTATTAAATCTATTAAAATAATACAATAAGAAAAATACGTATATTATAATAATGTTTCTCTTTAGCGAATGGTAGCAAACGGAGATGAACTGTTGGTAATGGTACGAAATTTTTTGACTCTTTTCATTTTACAAGCTAACATTATTTTTATCAAGAAAAGCTTGTCCAGTGCTGCTCATAGAACCTGCATAATAAAGCTGTTATATATCGTAATACAAATATGTAGCTTAAAGATGCTGGGAGACCAGCCGAGATTCGACGCCCAATTAAATTATTTGTAATTTATTAAAATTTTGCATTTTGTCCGACACGTTTAGTTGCTACAAGATATCTTCAATACTCTCAAAAAAAGGGAACTTTAAATAAATATGAACCCCAAAGCTCTGGTAAGATGTTCAGACGTTTACTGGCATGCAAAGAATCTATCATTAGGTAGCAAAACTCCGTTGCCGAAAATATATTAGAAAACACACGCGTCACTTCAGAGAGGAAGGGATGGCATTTTTCCGTAGATTTTCATGACTTTAAATATTACATAGAACACCGAACTAAAAATTGCTAGGTAAGTCAGAGCAGCGGAGTATGACTTTTACTTTATTTCGTTTTAATGTGTCAACATCGCACCGCTATCTGCTCCGACCGTACAAGGCATATCGAATAAATTTCATTTGAAATTTTACATTTTTCAAACTTGCATATATATAATTTAAAAATTTATATTTTGCCTATTTATCGATTAAGGCATCACCAACATCAGAATACTTTAATTACATCATCATAGTACATCTGCACCAGCATCTATTTCACATTTCACACCAGCATCAGCACACCAGCCTTCAGCACATTTCACCAGCACCAGCACATTTCACCTGCACCAGCACATTTTACCTGCACCAGCACATTTCACCAGCATCAGCACATTTCACCAGCACCAGCACATTTCACCAGCACCAGCACATTTCACCAGCACCAGCACATTTCACCAGCACAAGCACATTTCACCAGCACAAGCACATTCCACCAGCACCAGCACATTTCACCAGCACCAGCACATTTCACCAGCACCAGCACA